AAGCTCTTGCAGAATCACACTCAAAATTATAGGTAGTATTTGAATCCTTCTTCCTGTGCTGGTGGCAGGTGACAATCAGACATCAAGTTTGGAGTTGGTTTACCTTGTTTGATCTCTGTTTCCTCCTCCTGCCTGCTGGTGCTTGTGGGGAAGTGCTGGGCACTGGTGGGGCTGCCCCAGGCTCCCCACCTGGGTCATGCACCATTTCAGGCTGGTGCCTGGTACTGGGGCTCTTGCTGCACTTGTCCAGTTGACATCTGGCCCCTAAAGCAGGGGAGCTATTGCTCCTGAGAGCTTCTGAGAGCCACCCCAGACTACAGATAAACTGGGCCTCTGATGTGGGAAAACCCCTGAATCACCTGCAGCCTTGGCAGCAGGCTCGGCTTACCTTCAACCCGCAGGGATGATGGAAGGAGATCATCACCGGGTTAGTTCACTGGCAACAAGGACAGAAATCTTCAAGGTGTTTGCAGAGCAGTTGAGAGCAGCAGAAGCTCTGGGCTCCCAGCACGAGGCTGCATCTCCCCGAGCATGGCCAAGAGCCCCCATTTTGGGGGCTGTCTGGAGGTGCCTGGGGTCTGCAGAAGCTCACAAGGTCAGTGTCTCTGGAGAAGGTGGTGGTGGTTGCGTGACCTGCACTGGCTGGTTTTGCCCCTCCCTGCAGAGGAGCAGAGAAGGTGCAGGAAAAGCTCCTCTGGTGACCAAAGGGCTGGAATAGTTTTTGGCACAGAGAACGTAACGGCATGGTGTCCTCACCTTGGAGAAGAGCTGCCTTCAGAGTGAAGTGTTAGACCAGGGCTGCACTGAAGTAGGCAAGTGGGAAATACGTATTGCCTGTGTCGTTGCAGCCAGTGCTGGGGGACACCATGTGAAGCTGAGCGCCCACCAGAAGGAAGGTCTTTCCCCATAGGTACAACAGGGAGCTCTGGAGCCCACGGCCACAGGGAGGGCAGAAATGCAGATGGGCTCTGGCGGTGATTAGATGAATTGTTGACCACAAGGATGGGGCCGTGCCATCGGCAGCCCCCAGACACCAGCTGGCCAGAAGCTGGGCAGGCTCTGTGTCTTGCTGGGTCCATCCCAGCCAGCCCCTGCCCTGCCTTGGCAGCTGTGAGGCACCACCGAGGACAGGGCAGGGAACTCACCCGTCCTCCCAACCCGGCATGGTGTTTGATGTGCCAGCCCAGCAATACTTAAAACTGTCCACAAGAGTCACTGTTGCTTTACCTAAGGAGCCTCCATTCCTTCTGCCTGTGAACTGCCCGATGTCTTCACCCCGTGGAGGCCGTGCGGTTCGGGCCTCCATCCATGATGCTTTCCTTGCGCCCCAGCAAACCTCAGGCAGGGAGCCACAAGGATTCAGGCTGCCGAGGAGGATGATGAAGGCGGGTTGGTGCGTTGCAAGAGCAACCTTTCGCACGTGCTGCTCCACACTGGTTATTTCTGTGCAAGGCTCCCAGCAGACAGCTCTTCCCTTCCCTTCCCTCCCCGCCTGTGCCCAGCAGTTGTGCTTGGCTCTTTGATTTGCCCAGGGAGCACAGCGTGTGCTTCAGAGACGCGTGGCCTGAATTAACCTCTCTGCAAATGGTTTCTAAGTAACAGCAGTCCATGTAGCAAGATAAACTGTGAAGCCTATTTATATTTACTGAGATTGTATTAACCTTTGAAAGGTTGACCTTATAAAAAAAAAAAAAAAGATAAAGTGGCAAAAACATTCAGGGCATGAGGGGGTTTTGTTGTTGTTTTTAATCCTTTCACTCTGTGATTACTTCAGCCTTGGCGGTGGTAAACATACACTGGTTTTCAAGGCATTCCTTATTTTTTGATTTTTGCAGCTGTGGAGCCATTAAGTCTTTGCCTGTATTAGCACTTTCAAGGTCAGCCATGATGCAAAACTTAAGGCAACACATCAGCTGCATAAGAGCTGCTAATTTGCTTCGTTTACTCTCCTGTTCCCTGATAACTTGTGTGGCAGATCCAGCAGCAGCATGTCGAAGCCCCGCAATTCTCCTGTATGTCACCCAGGCTGGCGTGGGGAGGGCAGGGAAGGATTTAGCTGTCTCCAGGGGACAAGCCATGACCCCTTGCTGGAGGCCATCCCGCACATGATCATCATTAGCATCACCCCAGCAGTTTCCCAGTGTTAAGAGTTTCCATCAGAATTGGAATAAACAAATAAACGGGAACGTGTCTTTTGGGCACAGTCTCCCGTCAGAGCTTGTTCGTGCGGAGCTGAAGCCTTGGAAGGAAATCTGTCTGACGGGGTCTCTGCAGGAGGAATGGCTGCCGGCTGCAGCACCACATGGCACTGGAGCCACTGACGAAAGCTCGCCCTCTGCGATGCGAAGGGATGCGGGAGCACGTAAGGAGCCGGGGCTCGGTTGGGCGCAGAGCCTGCAGGTGGGCAGAGGAGCACCCGGTGTGCAGGGCTGGCAAACGGGTGCTGGACACTGCTGGAGCAACCTCACCTGCGGGTCCGGAGATGGATGCTCTGGAAGAGTCGGCACAGCACAGCCCTGCTCCTCATTTCTCATGCCTCTATCCCTGAACAAGCAGGCAGACGTCATTGCCGCTCCGTGCCTTGGTTTCCCTAATTTTTAAAGGCAAGTGAATGCTGTTTGCAGAGAGATAAGCAGCGAGGTTTAGCTCAGCCAGTCGCCTGCAGCCCTCTGAGGCTCCTCGGTGGATGCACCACACAGAAAGAAAAGACAGTGGTGGTGTGTGATCCAGCAGGGAGAAGCCTTTGGCAGCAATGCTTAATATATCTAATGAGGTGGCCTGTGGTCTTTTTTTGGTGCAGCCCAGAACAAGAGCGGGTCCTTTGTAAATATGCCGTCAAAAAAGTGCAAAGGCAGAAAGTGCGCCGCCATGCATGGATTTATTAGATTCCACTCAACTCCCCCTCCTCCCCCCCCCCAATGTCCAATGCCACTTCCATTTCTGAAACAGAATCAAGCATAGCTTGGTATTTAAGCCCCCGCTCAGAAAACCTTTGTGGATCCAAGCATCTGCTCTGCAGGAGCCTTCAGCCCCGTCGCTTGGCTGTGCCTTCTGCCGACGCTGGTGCTGCCTGGAATTGGGAGTGCGCAGGGATTTGGGGCTGTGTGGCTCGAGCTGAGGATACTGGAGTCTTCCCAACCGGTTGCTGGTATTTTCCATTCCTAAGAGGAGTTATGAGTGCCGCTTGCTAGCACTGCCTTGGAAATCAAGGTTCTATTTTTGCACCAAAGTGTTCAAGGCAAAATCAACAGGAATGAAGCTGTAGGACAGCTCAGGCAGTGGTCAGGGACTCTGTGTGTATCCCATACCTCTGGTAACTAATTAAGAGGGGAAAACAGAAGGTACAAAATCTGAATGGTACTATTAGGACCGAGAATCAAGCCCGATATATTTCCTCCGTGGTAAACTAAAGGGGCCACGGAGCTGAGTGTGGCTGTGCTGTGCTGGAGAAGAACTCATCCCTGTCCCAAATCCTGCTGCCTTTCCTCCAGCAGCCATACTTGATCTTAGAGGTAGTGGTGGTTGAAGACCCCACACCCAAGGAATTGCTGTCCTAAATAAACCTGCTAATTAGTGGGTGCCAGTATTACAGCGGTGCCCCCAGGCCCTGCTCCGGGTCCCCACGTACAGGCGGGCTGGGATCCCCCGGCAGGCTGCCGGAGTGGGGGTGCAGCCTTGGCAGTGGGCTTGGAGGAACCTGGGGTCCCCAGGGCAGCGCTGGGATCGCTGCCGTTCCCCGTACGTGCCAGTGCATGGTTTAGTGGTGCAGCAAGAAGAGAGTTTTAAAAGTGAAAAAATTTGATACTTCCTGCGCTGTTCTCCATCCCCAGATTTAGCCAGGACTGCCTCCGGTCCTCTCCCTAAGTGAGCGGGACCCCTGCCCCTTCCCAAACAGTCTCTTTTGCTGCTGATTTGGTTTAGGGATTTAGGGGGGAGGAGGGTGTTTTCTCCCCTCCCCGCTAGCCAGGCAGGGAGGGGAATGAGGAAGCAGCAAAGGTGTCTTTTCCTTCTGCTAAATCCTGCATGAGACTGTTAAGCTCCTGATCAGTAATTACACACTGCAGCTCTGCCTTTAATCAGGATAAAAGACTTAAGGAAGCTCCTTTGCCCCTGGTCTCTAGCTTTTACCTAGAGATTTTATTGCTGGGAATATTAGCACCGGGCCCAACAGCAGGAGCTCAGTGCTCGGGTTTGTGCAGGCTCTGGGAGCTCGTGCAGCCCTTCCAGGTCCTTACTGCTCCGGCGCTGCTTCTCTTTGAGCAATTATTTCATGCTGTCTTTAGAAAGTAGAAAGAAGAAGAAACCAGGGGTGGTGTCTGGGCAGATGCTGGGTTGGTTGTGGTTGCAGTGGCTAGTTTCTGTTCTGAGGTCCTGATCCTGCAAGTGGCTGAACTTTCCTGGCTGGTTTGTTTGCAGCTTTGTTAGGCACGGCTCCAAGAAAGCAAGAGGTTAGGAGATATGTGCTGCAATCCTGCCTCCTTATCAGCTCCTTGGAGCCTGGGGGTGAATAACCCCTGGGAGCACGTGTGTGCTGACAGCTCCCTCGCTGCTGGCCCGGGGTGGCCACCTCCTGCCACACAGAGCTTGGCCTGAGCCTCCCAACTCTTGGGACCCCATTGGGTTTTGGCAGATCAGGATGTAAAAAACCCCAAATAATCAAGAAACACCCTGGCCCGTTGGTAAATGCAGAGCTGAATGTTTGCATGTGTTCAGTGCTGAGGTAAAGGTTTGCAGAATTGGGGATTTATAATTTTAGTTCTCAACCTTAGTCCTGGTTTTACCAACAGATGTGGATGAAGTTCCTCATGTTGGAGGGGTTGTTGGTCTTTCTCTAAAGTTGGTGTGAGGTCCCCAGATAACCGCGTTCACGGCTCCGAAGTTGATGCAATTCCGAGTTAAGGTGGAAGCTGCGTTGCGAACTCCTTTGGGAGTGGGGAGAGACAGGCTTTGGATTTCAGCCGTCTCGTTAATCAGATCTCATCTTTTTTATTCCTTTACAGAAACCAGGCAATGCGGAAAAAGTTAATTTTGTACTTTAAGAGGAGAAATCATGCTCGCAAACAGTGGGTAAGTGATTCCCCTACACCTTATTTTATATGTATAAAGCAGCATAATTTATAATGTGAGAAAGAAAAGGACGTTTTCCAGCCGAGAAGTGCTGGCACTCAGTTCTTTGCCTGTTGCATTGCTGTGGTATCTCTTATGCTTAAAATAACTTGGATGTAAAGGAGAGGTCCCCAATCCTGCCGCAGGCAGCACCTCCCTCTGCAAGTACCCCCTGCAGAGCAAACACCCGGCAGTGGCTGAATCACGGCAAAGCCCTTCGTTGATCTTGGGGTGCCTATTCACAGCGTAAATGTGTGTTTTGTGAGTGACTGAACCCTCAGAAGTGTGAAACAACTTGACTCTGCTTCTGATAAATGCTCTGAAGACTGACCTGACTCTTTCCAGCTGACCACAGAGCAATGTTCTAAGAATTTGTGGTTTAAAACAAAAATTAAGCCCTGGCCAGTTAATTTCTAGGCAGCTTTGCCTGTGAGGTAGTTCCAGTGTCCTTCAAGGAGATGGTTCTTGGTTGGGTAAGGGGGAAGGTGGGGTTTATTATGAGACTTCAAAGGCATTTATCGCAAGTCCCTGGTAAATAGAAGAGAAAGTTAAACGGGATTTACAGAATTTGTAAGTGTTCAGCACCGACAGTTGCCTGCGGTGGTTGCCAGCGGGAGCTGAGGCAAAACCAGCACAAAAGGGGAAATGCCAGAAGCAACCAACAGCCGCCACCAGGAAGGTGGATTTTGCGGCATCTTCCCGCGAAGGGTGATTCAGCTCATGACGCAGGGCGTTGTGTCTTACGTGGAAGGTGCAAAAACTGGTTCTTGACTCGGCGTCTGTGTTCTGGGGTAGGCTCGGGTGCCGGCATTAGTGTCTTAAGTTGCCAACGGTGCAGGCTTTCTGAGCATCTTTGGTGCTGGTTTTGGACAGAAATGCTGTGGCTGGGAGGAATTGTTGGAAAAATTCAAAAATAGTCGGCCCAGGGAAGTGGTTGGAAGGCTCTGCCTTTAAAAGCAACTTCCAATAAGGCTGTTTACATAGCCATTTCTGAGCCAGCAATCAAATTATTTTCTTATTTTTCTCCCATTTTGTAGCAATCTTCCAAAAGCCACAGATCTTGCACTCCAAAGGGATGGTTGTGTCTCATTTGTGTCCAATTACGTGTTTGTTTAGTCTTTTCTGTGATAAAACTTCTTCCAGGTTTCTAGCAAGGGGCTACAGGGCTTATGCCTTCAACATGACCCAGGGTGGTAGTCGGAGCCTCTTGGGGCACCTCGCCTCCTGCAGCTGAGGACTTCTGCACTGGTGGGAAGCGGATCAATATTCCCTTCCTCAAAACAGGGACTGCAAAGCAAAGTGTGGTTTTATTGGAACCAGAGGGGAACTGCCCAGGAGCTGTTTTGCTGGTGGAAATGGCCAGTTTCCGCACTAAATCTAGAGCGAGTCACTCTGTTGTGAATATCGAGGAGCTAGGGGAAAAGGTTTAATTAGGCTGCAAGAGCACGGTTCCTAAAATACGGCTTGCAGTAAAGTCGCCTGTCATGCAAAATAGGTGAATTTCTGCCAGCCGGTTTATTCAGTGTCCTTGAAAGGGGATTTTTCAGTTTAGGGAAGCATTTTGCCTATTCTACAAAATAGGCAACATACGGTTGCTGAATTTGCAAAGTGAATACATTTGCTGATTCTGTTTGCAAAATGGGTATGCTTAGCTATTTTTCTGCCTATTTTGTAGCAGACCCTATTTTTAGCAAAGCCCATTTATGTGCCAATGTTTCTTTCTGGCTCTTTTACTTTCTGGGGTATTGTCGCTGCCCAGGGCTGGCTGGAGCAGGGTCAGAGCTCGGTCCCTGCAGGGTCCGGCCCCGAGAGCCCCACCAGAGGATCTGCAGGGCTTCCTCCTGCCTCCACCGAGGTCGGCACAGCAGAAGACATTTAATTGCCATCAGAGGGGTGATGCTGCAGAGAGAGAAGGCTGAAGGGAGCTGTTCTGGCTGTAAGAGGTTTATCTCCATCAGGCAGGGAAACAAAACTATGGGGCTTGCATAGGAATTGGGCTGGTTCCTCCTGTCACCTCCACTCTTCCCCTCCCCTCCGAAGAGCTGTACCATTCCCTGGAGCTGCGAGAACGTGGGCTGCAGGAGGGCTCGGGCTTGGCACAGCCTACACGCTGCCTTCAGCTGCTACGGCAGCGTTACTATTCATCCATTTTTAGATACGCATGTCAAGTCCGATTTGGCTCACCATCACTTACTTGTGTGATTGAGACACGGATGGGCTGGTGAGCCCAGCCGGGAAGGGGAGCAGAGGAAGCACCGATGCTAAAAGCCGGCACAGGTGGTTGCTCAGGAATGGACTCGCTTGCTTAAGGCTGCTCAGAGGATGCTTGAAGAAGGAAGAGACACTTTGCTCCTGAAGTGCCTGACCGGGAGCTTCTGATGATTGAGCTGTGAAGATCTGGGGAACGCACAGTGCTGTAAGGTGCCTGGGATCTTGGCTTTTGAAGGATGGCAAAAGATTGTAGGGAGCCTGTATCCCAGCTGGACCAAAAAGCACTACACAGGGATGTTGCAGACCATCCCTGCTGTGGTGGGGTTTGAAGCTTGCGTGACAGGAAGGATCTTTGCTCCATGGTGGGAAGGGGCTTTAAGAAAGCAGGTGGAACTCAGAAGTGTTTGGCCGGTCCATAACAGAGCTGTGCTCTGGAGGGCTGAGTCGTGTGAGCTTTGGTGCTGCCGGGGAAGTCAGCAGTGTGACACTGGTGTGGCTTTTTCTATCTGCAAATACCAATTCCTTAAAAGAGGAATTTTGGATAAAGCTTTCATCCAATTGTCCCAAATAGCGGAGGAAAAGGAAGAAAAAGAGCCTCCCTGCTGACTGCAGAACAGTCTGGTGGCTGTGCCAGGCAGCTCTGCCGGAGTGCTGGTGGTGCGGGACCCAGTGCTGGCTCATTCCCACAGGGAATGAAGAACTGTTCAAAGCCTCAAAGCTTCTCACCAGACCGAGCCCTCGTGCTGGGCTGTCCCCCAGCCGCGCCATGGGCTGGCTCGCAGCACAGGGCACCAGCTGCCTCCTGGCGCTGAGGCTCGGTAAACTTTGTGGGGTATTTTTAGCCTCTTCCCAAACGCGATGCTCTGAAAGCAGGAGGATGTAGCAGATTTGCTGGCAGGGTGGGAGCTCTCGTTTTCAGGGGGGCTGATAGCATCGCTTCAGGAGGGGTAAAAACACAGCAGCTGTGATTTCTCCAAGCTGCCACAGTTTGTTGGCATTACCTACAGTTCCTCGCCCACAGCGCTAGGTTCCCCTTGGTGGCTTTTAGGGCATTTTTATTTTTGTTCTCATTCCTCGCTTTCATCTTATGGCTGTTTCCTTTGGCTCCTGGTGAAATCCAAGCATCTCCTGTGCATCCATGCAGGGTAGGAAAGCCTCTGGCTTCAGGCGTTCAAATGGGAATTAATTTATTTTTGGGGGAGTGTTAGTCTGCATCAGCTGCGGGGTTCAAGGTGGTTTGTCTGCTCCAGGTTATTGCTGAAGTGCCTCCAAAAGGCCACAGGGATCACAGGCTGTGTTGCTGCACTTGGGTTATTTCCAGGTCCAGGATGGCTGGACCAAACCCCCGTGCCACGATTGGTGTGACGCCGGCCGTGTGTTGCTCTGGGTTCCTGGCACCAGCGATGGGCCACAGAGCTGCTGGTGCTCGAGGGCCATGGTACAAGTAACCAACTTGGCTCATGGTAACCCAGCTGCCTCCTGACCTGCAATTAGGCGTTTCCATTGGTTTGTGTTTGGGTTTTTTTGCCTCTCCCCATTTTTTTTGCGAGACGAGAGCAGAGCACATCTGGGAAATCCTACAGCCTTGGACTTCCCTCTGGTTGTGGGGTGGCGATGGCAAGAGATGAGTTTATTTCTTTGAAATCTGGATTCCCCCTGTCTCTGCTACAGTGCCAAGCCGTCCGTTCTGGAAAGCGGTGTGGGGGCGGGAGACGACCTGGGGTTTGCCATTGATTATTTTGCAAAGCAACATCTGTTTTCGCTTCCTGATTTGGGGCCTAGAAGGCATTTGTTTCACTCAAAACGAAACCTTAAAACACCCTCTGGTCACCCAGCTGCTTTCACATGAGGCTGGGGACCATCGCTCCTGTCACCGCTGCAGCCATCGGGGACCGTGGCTGGGCATCTTCTCGGTGTGGGCCTTGCCTGTCCGTGGGTGTTCTCCTGCAAGAGCGTGGCTGGAGGAGGGAGGAGTGTGGGGAGGGGAGGCTCATTTGTGTTGCAAATGATATTTTAATGTTATGGTTACTGGGCTGGTCCCATAAATACCAGGGAGAAGTGAGGTGCTGGACCTGTGTGGGCAGCTGGGTGGGTGTGCCATGAGGACGTCACCCAGGGAGCCATGGCATCAAAACCCCTTGCAGCACTGCATTTTGGCAGAGCCTGGGTTTGCTGTCAGTGGGGATGCGCTTGTCCCAGGACCAAAAAGGAGGAGCAGCAGCTGGAAAAACACTTCTGCTTTCCAGGATGGTGAAGGAGCTGGGGGCATCACGGCATGGCCAGACCACCATGCCATACAGCCTCAGACAGGGGCCGGGTGCCCAGCTTTTGGTTTCGGGGAGCCAGGCCCATGTGTGGAGACGCCCTGTGGTCCCAGTCCCATCAGTGTTGCCGGTATGGAGCCATGAGTGCCAGAGCCAGTGTGTGTGGGTGGGAAGGGGTCCCCGGCTGCGGGCATCTCGGCAAGCCTCTCCCCAGCACGGCGAGCTGGTGGCTCCAAAATTACAGCTCTGCATGCCCTGCTTGCGTGGCGGGGGCCCACTCTCCTGCCCTCCTGTGTCCCTTCTCAAGGCCGTGTTTCAGTCCCTTCTTGCTTGGTGGCCTCAGGCAGGCAGCTTGCCCTCTCCCCGTGCGTGGCCAGCCATGTCGGAGCGGTGCTCCGTGCCCAGCACTGGGCCTTTGGTCACTGAATCAAGCGCCCAAGGCACTGAGGGATGCTCAGGCAGAAGGTGTGGTGGATGGGTAAAGGCACGCTGGGCAAGAACCCTGGGTTCACAGAAGATGTTGGGTCTGGAAGGGAAAAGCCTGAGGGTACCTGATGGCCTCTTTTCAGAACTTACCCTTGGGTTGGTCCCAGACCCTGGAGCGAGTCCATGCCCTAATAAACCGTATTTCTTTAAGCAACGTGACTCAGGCTCAGCCTGAGCAGCCATCGAGGGACAGGCCTGGAGGAGCTGCCCTTCCCAGGCACGTCTCCTGAGCTCCCTCTCTCCCTCTGCCCTTTCAGGAACAGAAGTTTTGCCAGCGCTATGACCAGCTGATGGAAGCCTGGGAAAAAAAAGTGGAGCGCATCGAAAATAACCCCCGGCGCCGTGCCAAAGAGAGCAAAGTGCGGGAATACTATGAGAAGCAATTCCCAGAGATCCGGAAGCAGCGGGAACTGCAAGAGCGCATGCAGAGGTTAGAGGAGAAGCGGTAGGAAGGGGCTGAGCTGGTATCGGACAGCCTTTCTTTTTTCTTTGGGGATGGATGTGGGATTTGTTCACAGAAGGAGCGGCCTGGGATGGCTATCAGTGCCTTTTCTCCCCTTCTCGTCGAAGGCAGAAGCCAGCAGGCAAGTAGCTTTGCTGCTTTTTCCCCAGAGTGGCTCCACACAGAGCCAGGAGAGAAGGAAAATGTCAGGAATGTGGTTGCCCATCTCCCTTCTGCTGCTGAGCTCCTGGCCAGCCGGGTCCGAGCAAGGGGCAGCTCCCTTGTGCTGGCTGCCTGGCTGGGACAGCGCTAAGCCTTACTGGTGGGCTTAAATTAAGATGTGCAAGACTTGCAGGTGTATTTGGTCATGTCGGTGACTTAATACATGTGCATGCTTTGATCAGAGCACGGGCAGGGAGAAGAAAGGTCTGCAGAGGTTATAGGAATGACCGCAGACAATATGAAAGGAGCAAAGTGTCTCACTGAAAGGGATGTCCCCTGTCTGTCCCATCCCCTGTCCATTTTCTCCTCCTCACTGGAATTGCAACTGAGGTCATATTGTTTCTTGCCAGGAGGAGACACGATTTCATGTTCTCCACCCTTCTTGCTGAAAACTCCCCATCCTTCCCATTTCAGCTCCGGGATCTTGCCCAGGGTCACCTGATGTGTGCAGAACCAGACCCTTGTGCCAGCGTCCTGTCCTTGTGCTCCATAAACATGGGTCCAAATTTCCTAATCAGTGGCTTTATTTTTTCTTAAAGAGAAGGGGAGAAATGGTACTGAGAAATGTTTTAAGCTTTTACATGCTTAATAAGAAAAGTTTTAATTCCTTGGGTTGCATGGCTATTACACTGGGTGATATGGGGGGGGGGGAAGATGTCAATGGCTGCTTTTGATTTAAAAGTTCCTGCAGCATTTGCAAACCCGATGCAGTGGCACAGGGCTAATGGCTTGGTGCTAACGCTGATGCCTTTATGCCATTGCTGCGGTGCGATGAACAGGAGAAAATAATGGGGGGAGAGTATGGTTGGGCATGAAATATCCTTCTGTTGTAGTGATCCAGGAGGTGGCCGTTGGCACAGGTAAGGAAGGTTGGTTGAGGCTCTCAACCTGTGAGCCCTAAACCTGAGGGACTTGGGGGACGGGGGTCTCCAGGCAGGAGTAAGTGTTGTCAGAGTCCATGGGGCTGCAGCAGGCCCTGTTCCCACGGTGTGGGATGGGGTGGCCTGGGTGGGGTGTTGGGATATGGCCATTATGGAGGTCAACAAGGAGAACAACAGGGCCAGCGAGTTGTTATGAATGTGGTTTCCAAAATAGAGCATCGGTATCTGAGTATTTCACTGCCCTTTCCCAGCAGGGTAGGACAGAGGGGCAGCGGCGGGCTCTCCATGTCGGCTGCACGCAGCGAGCACGAGGTGTCAGAAATCATCGACGGGCTCTCAGAACAAGAGGTGAGACCAGGTTGTCCTTTCTCCTCCTCTTCACCCCTCCTCCACTTTTTTCCAAGGAAGCCAGGAGAGTACCACCAGCTCCCACACTGCGTCCCAGGGTGAAATCTTATACCAAATCCCACTGACTTCAGGCCACGCTGAGGTTGGGGAGGTTGCCATGATGCCTAATACACTTTCTGGACAGGATCCAAAGTGAGGCATTCATTTAATACCCAGCAGCATCTTCCCAGCTGCCTGAGAGATGTAACGGAGCTGTGCAATGGTTCTGCAGGAGCAAAACGTGGAGCAAAGCAGCCCAGGAGCTGGTGGCCAGTGGGTAGGATCTGTCAGCATTCAACTGCCTCTTAGGGACCTGAAACCCCAGCATGCTGCTCATCCTGGGTAGCACCCTACAAACGTCTCCTGGCTGTTGGTTTAAACTGGTAGCGGAGGTGGGAAGGGAAGGGAGCCGGCGCCCTGGCTGCCGGGTGGAGGGGTTTTTCTGTTTCGTTTTGTTTTGAATGGGCTGTGTGGCTTGACGCAGGGGAATCCTATGGAATGAATGGTTTGTACATGAGCCAGTTGGCCCACATCTTCTGGGAGTGCTCCATTCATCTTGAAACATCCCCGTGACCTTGGCTTCGTTTGGATCTGGTTTCACAAGGGTTCCACTCTCTTGGCACGGAGGCGAGCTGCAGTGAATGGATCGCATTTGGGAGGGGAGAGCAGCCATTGCCCAGCAATAGCTGAGATGTTTGCTGCCTGTGCGCCGCGGTTCGCTCCCTGGGTCCCAGGCAGTTTGCTGTTAGCCAGTTAAGGCGACGACCCGGAGGACACAGATCTCGGAAGCAGAGGGAAATTTCACAGCTCTGCAGAGCTCGTGGCCAAGGGGAGGGTTAGACAATTGCCTCCAACCTTCTGCACAGTATGCTGCTAAACTCCACCCCGACAGCCTTCTGCTGAGCCCCAAGGCACCGCTTTGCTTGTCTCAGAGGAGACCTTAAGAGCTTCCAGCCCTTCCACAGGGTTGGAAGGAGCAGGGAGGTGAGAGCCAGGAGCATCACTGGCAGCAAGGGCCAGCTCTCCGCCCCGTGCATTGCTGGAGAGGAGAGAGGTCTGGCTGCCCGCCAGCGGGGTGTATCTGCAGCACTCGGCACCCCGAGACCCTGCCAGATGAGGGGAGAGGCCCTGCACTCTCAGCTGCAGGCAGTGCTGCTGCCAGCTGCCTCTGCCTGCCATGGCTCTGCACAGGGACTTTCTCCTTTCTGCTGGGGCGCTCTGCGGTTGTCAGGGTCGATGCTCTGGCTGCAGGCTGTCCCTGACCTCCCACGATGAGATGACACCCCCAGGGCATCTGAAGCAGCCAGCTGCTAAACAGGAGGCATCCTAGTGAGGATGAGGAACGTGATGCAGTGACACAGTCCGTGTCTGTGCAGAGAGCTGTGTTTTAGGAAGAGCAGGTTGGGTCTGATCAGTCACAGCGGAGAAGCAGATCAGTGCTGGGCAGGCCTGGGTCAGCAGCTTGCTGGAAGGATTGGACATACTGTTCCCCCAGGAACCAGCGCCTAGCTGTAAATTAAAATAACAGCACTTGAGACCTGGCCTTGCTGGGTCAAGGGTTGGAATTTATGTCTGACCAGTGGCATTCCAGGTGACAGGGAGGACTTGGAATGATGGCACTGCTGGCAAACGAAAGAGCGTGGCCAGAGCATCCCTTCATTCCCACAGGGTGGACCTCTGCCAGGGGACCACCATCAGCTCAGCCAAAGGGACAGTCCTGGCATTCAGGCAGGGTATGGCACAAATGAGACATCACATTGGCCACTCTGTTGCAAATACTTAAGGAAACCAGTGTGCCCAGTCTGTCCTGTCCTGGTCTGCAGCCAGGGCTCTGGGTGAATTTTGTGCTTGCATAGGATGGAGTAAAGGCATCAGATGATGTCTCAGGGTGTTGCAGTAAGAGGAAAAAAAAGAATGACGGCCCCACTACAGTGACATTTAAAGCCTCCTGGAACAATACAAGGTTTCCCGTGGAAGGGAAACACAACGTTTCCCTCTGCCCGCCCTTTGAGAAAGCTTTGCAGAGCTGACCCGCTTCCCTTGCGATGTGGGGTGGGGGGGCTGAACCTCCATGTGGCCGTGCGTCTGATGGCTGGGAAGGGGTTTGTATTCCCTGTGCCACTGCTGCTTTGACTTGTCTCTCATCATGGTCAGGAACTGTTTTGCTTAAGTCAGACATTTCCACGCAGGATCTTAAAGCCTTTTATTTCAAAATGAAAGATTAATTGTTTCCTGGCTGACAGCGATAGCCTCTTTCAGCGTTTAATTTACAATTACGCTAGCAATAAAGCTGTCTCGTGTTTGCTTTTGAATTCTGCTGTTTCTCTGCCTGTCCTTTCCTCTTGAACATCTGTCCCCTGCAGTCCCTGCGGGCCCGTGGTGCTGACCAACTGTTCTCTCTGCTTTCCCCAAAGAACCTGGAGAAGCAGATGCGCCAGCTCGCTGTCATCCCGCCCATGCTCTACGATGCTGACCAGCAGCGCATTAAATTCATCAACATGAACGGCCTCATGGATGACCCCATGAAGGTCTACAAGGACCGGCAGGTGATGAACATGTGGAGTGAGCAAGAGAAGGAGACCTTCCGGGAAAAGTGAGTGCAGCCCACACACCTCTCTTTGCATAGCCCTTGGGAAGGGCAGACAGGACCTGTGCAATGCTTTGGCAGGTGCCCCAGCATGCTAAGGCATGAATTTCCCAAGGACTTGTCTTGCCCCCCAGGGACACAGCCACAGTCGCTGTGTTGCCTTGGACCTGGGCACAAGGTGATGGCACCTGCACAGAAACCTGAGGCCTTTCCGTAGGCTTGCTGTGTTCATGCCTGCGTGCGGAGATGCAGGAAGCTGCTGCTTGCAGCAGGGCGAGAACTAGAAGTTTTTCTGCTTCTGCTTCCCCTCGTTGTGTCAGACAGTTTAAGGATAAAGCAGCGAAACCCAATGCTCCATACACTGTTATGTTTTTGGGCTTACATGCCTGTCCTTTGGGTGCTGCGTGTCCGGAGGGATTCTCGGGGCTGTCAACATCCAACGTCCCCATGCAGACCCCCTCAGGCTGCAGCTTCCAGCCGGTGCCCCTCCGT